GTCTTTTTTATCTCCTTATTTTCGCTTTTTTCCATTTTCTTTTTTGTGTTCTTTTGGCATTTTTCTTATCTTCTGCTTTGTGGTTGTTATCGTCTTTTTTCTAGCCTTTTCCGTTTTCTTTACTTGCCCCTTTTTTTCTATTCCTTTTTAACCGTTGTTTATCCTTCTTTACATTATTTTTGATCGCCTTTTTTAGTAATTTTGGTCTTAGGTTTTTGTATTTCTTTTCTTTTTTACTGTTGTCTTTTTTTCCACCGTTTTTATTTGTCTTTTTTTGAGACTTTTCTCTTTTTTGTGATTTTCACCGTCTTTTTGTCTCCTTATTTTCTTTACTTTGTTTCTTTTTGCGTTTTCCACTTTTTTCTTATCCTCTTTTGGCATTTTTCTTATCTTCTGTTTCGTGGTTATCACTTTTTGTTGCCTTTTCTATCTTCTTTCTTTGTCCCTTTTTTTCTATTCCTTTTTACCATTGTTTACCGTTCTTTTTATCATTTTTAATCGCTCTTTTAGTTGCTTTTGTTTTCTTTTTTGTGATGTTTATCGGTTTTTGACTTTTTCTTTTTTTTGTCGTTTTTTCGTCCTCTTTTTTTGTACCGCCTTCTGTTTCTAGCCTCTTTTTTATGGTTCTTTTTTTTATCCCCCCTTTTTGTTCTTTTTCTCAATTTTTTAGCGTTGTCGTCACATTTTTTGTGGTTTTTGTCATATTTTTTGTCTCTTTGTTGTCATTTTTTATTTCTTTTTTGCGCCGTTTTTTATCATGTTTTTTTCGTCTTCTCTTTTATGGTCGCTTTTTGTAGCCCTTTTTCTGACCTTTTTTTTGGTGATTTTTTGGTCCCCTTTTTTTATAGTCTTTTTTTGCACTTTTCTGGCCCTTTTAAGTGCTTTGGATCTTTCTTTTGGCGCTTTTTTTCCCGTTTTTTTCGTTTTTACAATTACGAAAATTTAAACATTGAAAATACGAAAACTGAAAACATCAAAATTTGCAAACCGAAACAAAGAAAAAATAAAAATTCGAAAAACGAATAACTAAAAAATGAAAGAAATGAAAAAACGAAAAATTCAAATAAGTGACATAACATAACTGAGAATTTGAAAAATTGAAAAATCGAAAAAATTTAAAATCAATTATTGCAAATCGAAAAATTAATGAAGAAATTGTAAGTCAAAAAAAATTGAAAAAAGTAAAATGTTACTGTTAATGTTACTGAATGACCTCATGACCTCTAACCTTTTCTCCATTTTGATTTTTCAATTTTTCAATCAATTGAAAAATCAAAATGGAAAAACCGAAAAGTCAAAAAATCCAGTAATCGAAGTATGAAAAAATGGAGTTGAATCTAAAAATTGAAAATTCGAGAAACGGCAAAGTCAGACGCTGAAAAATCGGAAAATTGAAAAACCGAAGAGTCGAAAAATCGGTCAAACGGAAAATCGAGAAAACCATAAATCCAAATTTTGAAAAATTTAAAATGAAATTAAAATTAGTAAAAACAAAAAAATTGCAAATGAAAAAACGGAAACAATAGTAACTTTTCGAAAAATAGAAGAAACGAAAAATTGAAAAATCAAAGAATTAAAAATCGAAAAATTTGGAAAAACGAATATATTTCTAAATGTCGAAAAATTGAAAATTTAAAAATCGAGAAACTGACTAATTAAACATCGCAAAATTGCTAAATCGAAAAATCGAGGACAGAAATGCCGAAATATCGAAAAATTGGATAATTGAAAAATGGGGAAAAACGAAAAGTTGAAAAATCGAAAAATCAAAAAAGTCAAAGGTTGAAAAATCGAGGAAACCAAAAGAATCGAAAAACTGAAAAATCGAGAAATCGAAAAGTCGAAAGTCGAAAAATTGGAAAATTGAAAAATCGAAAAATCGAGAAACAGAACTGCCGAAATATCGAAAAATTGAATAATTGAAAAATGGGGAAAAACAAAAAGTTGAAAAATCAAAAAAGTCAAAGGTCGAAAAATCGAAAAATCGAGGAAACCAAAAGAATCGAAAAACTGAAAAATCGAGAAATGGAAAAGTCGAAAGTTCAAAAATTGGAAACCTGAAAATTCGAAAAATCGAAAAATCGAGAAATCGGAAGTCAAGGGACCTTTGATGTGTTATTTTTGGAAAAAAGAAAGAATTTTGTTTTATTTTTAAAATCATTTGCAAAAATCTTATTAGCCTCATTTTGTTTTGTTTTAGAACAATTTGGAAAAAATCTTGCAGACTTTGGCTGTTATCATTTTTTTAAAAATTTGAGAAAGTTTGGGGTCCTTAGTTTTTTAATTTTGGAAAAACTGTGGGATCCGTTGATGTTTTATTTTGGAACGAATTTAAAAGAACTTTTGGGTTCGATTTTTGGAAAAATTTGAGAAAATTTTGAAACTCCTAGTTTTTTCTTTACATTAAATTTGGAAGAATTTTGAAAATCCCTCATAATTTAATTTTTGAAAATTTGAAAACCGAAACATTGAAAAATTAAAAGAAATTGGAAAAAAAATTGGAAATTTGAAAATCTAGAACGTGAAAAAGAAAAAATGCAAATCCAAAAATTGGAAAAATTAAAATTCGAAAAACGAATGACTGAAAAATGAAAGAAATAAAAAAATGAAAATTTCAAATAAGTGACATAACAACTGAGAATTTGAAAAGTTGAAAAATCGAAAAAATTTGTAATCAAAACTGAAAATCGAAAAATTAATGAAGAAATTTTGGAAGTTAAGAAAAATTGCAAAAAGTAAAATATGAAAATGGAAAAATCATTATAAAAGATATAAAAACTGAAAACTCTAAAACTTGAGAATTTGTATTTTTTTTTCTGGTGTCTTTGACTTGCCGATTCAGTGACTTATTTAATTACTTAATGTTACTGAATGACCTCATGACCTCTAACCTTTTCTCCATTTTGATTTTTGAATTTTTCAATCAATTGAAAAATCAAAATGGGAAAACCGAAAAGTCAAAATATCCAGAAATCGAAGTATGGAAAAATGGAGTTGAATCTAAAGACGCTGCAAAATCGGAAAGCTGAAAAACCAAAAAGTCGAAAAATCGATCAAACGGAAAATCGAGAAAACGATAAATCCAAATTTTGAAAAATTGAAAGTCGAAAAAATTCAAATAAAATTAAAATTAGTAAAAACAGAAAAATTTAAAAATTGCAAATCAAAAAACTGAAACAATAATTAAAAATCGAAAATTTTGGAAAAACGAATATACATATTTCTAAACGTCGAAAAATTGAAAAATTAAAAATCGAGAAATCGAAAAGTCGAAAGTCGAAAAATTGGAAAATTGAGAAATTTAAAATCGAGAAACAGAAATGCCGAAATATCGAAAAGTTGAATAATTGGAATATGGGGAAAAACGAAAAGTTGAAAAATCGAAAAATCAAATAAGTCAAAGGTCGAAAAATCGAAAAATCGAGGAAACCAAAAGAATCGAAAAACTGAAAAATCGAAAAATCGATAAGTCGAAAGTTGAAAAATTGGAAATTTTTAAAAATCGAAAAATCCAGGAACAAAAGTGCCGAAATATCGAAAAATTGAATAATTGAAAAATGGGGAAAAACGAAAAGTTGAAAAATCGAAAAATCAAAAAACTCAACGGTCGAAAAATCGAAAAACTGAGGAAACCAAAAGAATCGAAAAACTGAAAAATCGAGAAATCGAAAAGTCGAAAGTCGAAAAATTGGAAAATTGAGAAATTTAAACTCGAGAAACAGAAATACCGAAATATCGAAAAGTTGAATAATTGGAAGGAAAATGGGGAAAACGAAAAGTTGAAAAATCGTAAAATCAAAAAATTCAAAGGTCGAAAAATGGAAAAATCGAGGAAACCACAAGAATTAAAAAACTGAAAAATCGAGAAATCGATAAGTCGAAAGTTGAAAAAATGGAATTTTTTAAAAATCGATCATTTTTAAAAAAATTTGAAAAACTTTGGTGTCCCTAGTTTTTTAATTTTGGAAAAACTGTGGGGTCCGTTGATGTTTTATTTTGGAACGAATTTAAAAGAGCTTTTGGAGTCTATTTTTGAAAAAATTTGAAAAAATCTTGAGATTCCTAATTTTTTCTTTACATTTGGAAGAATTTTGGAAATCCCTCATTTTTTTATTTTTGAAAAATTTCAAAGAGTCCTGGGATTCTTGAGTGTTTAAAAAGATCTTGAGAATTTTTAGGGGTTCTTGGTGTTTTATTTTTGAAAAAATCTTTGGAAGATTTGAAAAAATCTTGCGGACTTCAACTCTTTCCACTTTTAAAAATTTGAAAAAATTATGAGGGCCACTAGTATTTTCTTTTAGAAATATTTGAAAAAATCGTAAGGTTGCTAGTTTTTTCTTTAAATTTAGAAGAATCGTGGGGACCCTTGATTAGACGGCTTGTATCCTTGAAAATTTTGAATTAATCGTGTTTTTTTAGGGTTCCATTTTTGAAAAAATATGAAAGAATCTTGAAAAAAAATTTCGAATTTTTTTCTTTAAATTTAGAAGAATATTTTAACCCCTTGATGTTTTATGTTTTTGCAAAATTTGCAAGAATTTTGGGTCCCTTGGTGTTTTGTTCTTAAAAGAACTTCGGAACTTTATTGCTTTATTGCTGAAAAATTTTGAACGAATTGTTGTACTTGGTGTCTTTTCTAAGCGAAATTAAACCACTTAAAAAGAATCAAAACACAAAAAACGAAAAATTTTATACAATTGCTTCGTATTTCCTACACAAACCACAGTTTCGAATTTTGAAAATTTAGTGTGTCAAAATAGGTTGACTTGAGTGAATAAATTAGTTCTTAAAGTAGATTTGGAAGAAATCCACAGCTTATAAATTTCCACTCGCTTTTTGTGTTTGCTTCCTTTGTTTTAGAACCCAATATTCCTTTCAGTACCCCCAAATTTCGCAACAAAACATTGACTCTAGTCACAAAAACCCGCCATAGAAACCTCCTTTCCAATAAACGCAGCATCTCGCTAAATTAATCCCGCTCTAACAAGCAGTCAACTCACATTATTCCTCGAATTAACATCGACGGGTTCCCTCAGGATCTCCCTCACTCCCTCGGCGTCGTTCTTAATGACAGCTTCATGTAACATGAGGTCATTCCGCTGGATCAAAGCCCTTCGTTCCAGCTCCTCGGGGGTGCTTGTAGGCGAAGGGCAACCCGGCCGCAGAGAACACCCCTGCTCCACAACCGGACTGACGCAGGACATCATCTTCACGCCTTAATCACCCAGATTCCCTTCCATCGGATCTACATGTGGTGGATGTCGCACATAACGTTCATTTCCTGCACAGCCCACACTTCCGTCACTTCAGCCACTAACGTAAATTGCGGAATTGAATTTCTGTCTTGGTTCACAGGACCTGGAAACACGTTTGATTGCTCAGACAATATTGACGTTGTTTACAAAATTCTGGACGAGTTGCCGCTCGTCTTGTTGATTTATGTTGTTTGTGCTATTGTCAGTTTTTGATTGTGTGTGTGTGTGTGTATATTTTTGTGATGGGTGCATGCCAGTGTTATTTTTGGGATGCATGAATGGAATTATTTTTTAAAATGGGGAAAGGAGTGTGCTCGAAATGGCGGCTTGTTGGCGTGGAAAGGAAAATGTCAAAGTTATTAGGGTGAATGCATTAAAAAGGATGCGTTGTGTTGGGGTTTAAAATATGGAAAATCAATTGTCATTAGGGGACATTAAGGTTTTTGTAGCGGTGCGGACTCGTAGAAAATAAAAAAATATATACATTAAATCGATTGTGAGGACATCGTTCTGGAACAAGGACATAGAGAAATGATTGCTGATTTTATCGTGCTAGAGGGTGTCCAATGACTTGACCAAACAAGGTTACGAACTCCTCGTTAATTTTTGAAAATTATTTGACCCAGTCTGTTGGAACTACAGCTGTTAGGGCTACAATTTTAGATAATTTTCAAATATTTCTTAATAGAATTAGATTCTTAGCTGAAAATAGACACGTTTTTTCACCAAACAGCTTTCAATAGATAATTTTCTATTTTATCTAAAAATATTTTTTAAAATTGGCATCATTCGAACTTCTCCTTTTTACCCCTAATAGGCACAACGTGTCGGCTTAAGCGTGAATTTTTGCATAATTTTTTCCTTGACGGTTTTTTTTTGGAGTCGAGCTGAATATGTTCTTATGGAAAAATAGTATTTTTGGGCAAGAATTTTGATTTTCAGTTACAATTTTATTCGAGACCATCAAAATGCGATGTCTTTGGATTCAGCTCGTCGAGATCTACTCCTCAGAATTTTTTGATGATTTTCTGACGACTTTGAAAAAAAAATTTTTTGGAGATTTAATGAAACTTGAATTTTTTTTTGACTTTCTATGGAATATCTTCACAAAACACTAATAAATTCTTATTGGTCAACTTCAAGTTTTCTAAAATGTCCGTTGGTGTATATTTCTTCTCGTTTCACCAAAATTGTCAAAATAATAAATGGCAAATTTTGAGATATTCTAAAAATTCGAATTTGAACCTACATATTTCGGAATGCAGTCATCATATGAACTTCTCCTTTTTTCTGATAATAGATACATAAGTCTGCTTAAGTGTGAATTTTTTCATAGCTTTTGACTTGATAGTTTTTTTGGAGTTGAGCTGAATGTGTTCTTATGAAAAAGTAATATTTTTGGCCAAGAATTTTAATTTGCAGCTACAATTTTATTCGAAACCATTAATATGCGGTGTTTTTCGGTTCAACTCGTCGAGATCTATTCCTCAGAATTTTTTGATGATTTTCTAACTACTTTGAAAAAAACATTTTGGAGCTTAATGAAACTTGAATTTTTTTTTTGACTTTCTGTGGAAGATGTTCAAAAAACACAAGAAAATTTTCATTGGTCAACTTCAAGCTTCTGAAGCTTTCTAAAATATCCGTTGGTCTATATTTCTTCTCGTTTCACCAAAATTGTCAAAATAATAAATGTCAAATTTTGAGATATTCTAAAAATTCGAATTTGAACCTACATATTTCGGAATGTGGTGATCATACGAACTTCTCCTTTTTTCTGGTAATAGATACGATAAGTCTGCTTAAGTGTGAATTTTTTCATAATTTTTGCCTTGATAGTTTTTTTGGAGTCGAGCTGAATGTGTTCTTATGGAAAAGTAGTATTTTTGAGCAAGAATTTTGATTTTCAGCTACAATTTTATTCGGGACCATCAATATGCGGTGTTTTTCGGTTCAACTCATCGAAATCTACTCCTCAGAATTTTTTGATGATATTGTGACGACTTTGAAAAAAAAAATGTGGAGATTTAATGAAACTTGATTTTTTTTGGCTTTCTATGGAAGATTTTCAAAAAACACTAAAAAAATTTCCTTGGTCAACTTCGAGCTGCTGAAGTTTTCGAAAATGTCCGTTGCTCTATCTTTCCTTTTGTTTCACCAAAATTGTCAAAATAATAAATGGCAAATTTTGAGATATTCTAAAAATTCGAATTTGAACCTACATATTTCGGAATATAGTCATCATACGAATTTCTCCTTTTTTTCTGTTAATAGATACGATAAGTCTGCTTAAGTGCGAATTTTTTTATAATTTTTGCCTTCATAGTTTTTTTGGAGTCGACCTGAATCTGTTCTTATAGAAAAGTAGTATTTTTTGCCAATAATTTTCATCTGCAGCTACAATTTTATTCGAAACCATCAATATGCGGTGTTTTTCGGTTCAACTCGTCGAGATCTACTCCTCAGAATTTTTTGATGATTTTCTGATGACTTTGAAAAACAAATTTTTGGAGATTTAATGAAACACGAAATTTTTTTTGATTTTCTATAGAAGTTCTTCAAAATACACTAAAAAATTTTCATTGGTCAACTTCAAGCTGCTAAAGATTTCTAAAATGTCCGTTGGTCTATATTTCTTTTCGTTTCACCAAAATTGTCAAAATAATAAATGTCAAATTTTGAGATATTCTAAAAATTCGAATTTGAACCTACATATTTCGGAATGTAGTCATCATACGAACTTTTCCATTTTACCGCTAATAGACCCAGCAAGTCTGCTTAAGTGTGAATTTTTTCATAATTTTTCCCTTGAATAGTTTTTGTGGAGCCGAGCTGATTGTGTTCTTATGGAAAAGTAGTATGTTTGGGAAAGAATTTTGATTTGCAGCTACAATTTTAAACGAAACCATCAATATGCGGTGTTTTTCGGTTCAACTCGTCGAGATCTACTCCTCAGAATTTTCTGATGATTCTCTGACGATTTTGAAAAAACATTTTTTTGGAGATTTAATGAAACTTGAAATTTTTTTTGACTTTTTGTGGAAGATCTTCAAAAAATACTAAAAAATTTTCATTGGTCAACTTCAAGCTGCTGAAGTTTTATAAAATGTCCGTTGGTCTATATTTCTACTCGTTTCACCAAAATTGTCAAAATAATAAATGGCAAATTTTGAGATATTCCAAAAATTCGAATTTGAACCTACATATTTCGGAATGTAGTCATCATACGAACCTCTCCTTTTTTCTGGTAATAGATACGATAAGTTTGCTTAAGTGTGAATTTTTTCATAATTTTTGCCTTGATAGTTTTTTTGGAGTTGACCTGAATGTGTTCTTATGGAAAAGTAGTATTTTTGGGCAAGAATTTTAATTTGCAGCTACAATTTTTTTCGAAACCATCAATATGCGGTGTTTTTCGGTTCAGCTCGTCGAGATCTACTCCTCAGAATTATTTGATAATTTTCTGACGACTTTGAAAAAAAAAATTTTTGAAGATTTAACGAAACTTGAAATTTTTTTTGACTTTTTACGAAAGATCTTCAAAAAACACTAAAAAATTTTCATTGGTCAACTTCAAGCTGCTGAAGTTTTCTAAAATGTCCGTTGGTCTATATTTCTTCTCGTTTCATCAAAATTGACAAAATAATAAGTGGCAAATTTTGAGATATTCTAAAAATTCGAATTTGAACCTACATATTTCGGAATGAAGTCATCATACGAACTTCTCCTTTTTTCTAATAATAGATACGATAAGTCTGCTTAAGTGTGAATTTTTTCATAATTTTTGCCTTGATAGTTTTTTTGGAGGCGAACTGAATGTATTCTTATGGAAAAGTAGTATTTTTGGGCAAGAATTTTAATTTGCAGCTACAATTTTATTCGAAACCATCAATATGCGGTGTTTTTCGATTCAACTCGTCAAGATTTACACCTCAGAATTTTTTTTATGATTTTCTAACGTCTTTGAAAAAAAAAAATTTTTTTTTGGAGATTTAATGAAACTTAAAATTTTTTTTGACTTTCTGTGGAATATCTTCAAAAAATACTAAAAAATTTTTATTGGTCAACTTCAAGCAGCTGAAGTTTTCTAAAATGTCCGTTGGTCTATATTTCTTCTCGTTTAACCGAAATTGTGAAAACAACAAATGTCAAATTTTGAGATATTCTAAAAATTAGAATTTGAACCTACATATTTCGGAATGTATTCATCATACGAACTTCTCCTTTTTTGTGATAATAGATACCATAAGTCTGCTTAAGTGTGCATTTTTCATAATTTTTGCCTTGAAATTTTTTTTGGAGTCGAGGTGAATGTGTTCTTATGGAGAAGTAGTATTTTTGGGCAAGAATTTTAATTTTCAGCCACAATTTTATTCGAAACCACAATGTGCGGTGTTTTTCGGTTCAACTCGTCGAGATCTACTCCTCAGAATTTTCTGATGATTCTCTGATGATTTTGAAAAAACATTTTTTTTGGAGATTTAATGAAACTTGAAATTTTTTTTGACTTTCTGTGGAAGATCTTCAAAAAATACTAAAAAATTTTCATTGGTCAACTTCAAGCTGCTGAAGTTTTATAAAATGTCCGTTGGTCTATAGATCTTCTCGTTTCACCAAAATTGTCAAAACAATAAATGGCAAATTTTGAGATATTCTAAAAATGCGAATTTGAACCTACATATTTCGGAATGTAGTCATCATACGAACTTCTCTTTTTTTCTAATAATAGATACGATAAGTCTGCTTAAGTGTGAATTTTTTCACAATTTTTGTCTTGATAGTTTTTTTGGAGTCGAGCTGAATGTGTTCTTATGGAAAAGTAGTATTTTTGGCCAAGAATTTTGATTTGCAGCTACAATTTTATTCGAAACCATCAATATGCGGTGTTTTCCGGTTCAACTCGTCGAGATTTACTTTTGAGAATTGTTTGATGATTTTCTGACGACTTTGAAAAATACAAATTTTGGAGATTTATTGAAACTTGATATTTTTTTTGACTTTCTATGGAACATCTTCAAAAAACACTAAGAAATTTTCATTGGTCAACTTCAAGCTGCTGAAGTTTTCTAAAATATCCGTTGGTCTATATTTCTTCTCGTTTCA